ATCATAAACATAAACCAAGACATGTAAATGCACAGAATCACGGTGTAAAGTAAACAGAGAATAATCCGAATAGGACTGCGCAAAACCATATTGCCTAAGGGCAGTAGCAAGCTTGGCGAACCAACAACGAGGAGCTTCTTCAAACCATATAGAGAAAGACGCAATCGACACACCTTACCACGATCAGGCAAATAAAAACCAGGAGGAAGTTTCATGAAGACCTCCTCACAATGTATTGTGCACGTCCATATGATGACCCTTCCAATGTCGAGCAGCTGCAACAGCTAGAAAAGTCCGTACAGTAACTATCTTAGCGACAGATGCAAATGTCTCTTGATAGTCAATGCCCTCAACCTGCCGGTTGCCCAAGACAACCAAACGCGCCTTTGTAGCGCTTAACAGAACCATCAGGGTTATGTTTAATCTTATAAATCAACTTGCAAAAAATCGCGTGTTTCCTAGTGGGAAGAGAAACAAAATCCCATGTATGGTTCGATTCTAGTTCTCGAATCTCCAGTTGCATAACCGAACACCAACGACTATCTCGAACAGCCTCAGAAAAGGTCCGAGGCTCAACAACAGAAGAAATGGCTGCTAGAAATGACTGATGTGCAGGTGAAAATGAATCACAAGAAACATAGTGTGCAAGAGGACAAGGAGTATCAGATGATGATGCGATGGAGAAGGTAGAGTGGGGATTCGAAGAACAACAGTGTGAGAGACAAAGTTGGCAAGACGGGAAGAGGGCCTCTTGAGACGATGACCTCGACCCAACATTTCCTCTTGGAGAGGATCATCCCCCCTATCGACAATGACCTCAGAACCCCCAGTGGCATCGGTACGCGTTGTAGTGAGAACCACCACATCATCATCGTCGTCAGAAACAGTATGTCATGGAACCACAGGTGTGGAGGCAATACCAAGAGCAGTAGACGTCAAATAAGGGAACTCTGATTCACAGAATTTCACATCACGTGAGACCAGAAAAGTGTGGTTGTCCAAATCATAAACACACCAACGCTTTTGACCAGATGGATAGCCAACAAAAACACATCGACGACTCTGACTTGCAAACTTGTCACCATCCCTATTCTGATTGTGCACATAACAGAAACAACCAAAAAAAATGTAAATTTGCATAGTTGGGAGGTTCGCCATACAAAAGTTCATAGGGAGTCTTGCCGGATAAAAGAGGAGTATGCGTTCCATTAATCAAATAGCCAGCAGTAAGTACACAATGTCCCCAGAACTCAGTCGATAAATGGGCCGTAAAACGTAATGCTCGAGCAACATTAAGAATGTGTTGATGTTTGCACTCAGCACGTTCATTTTGTTGAGGAGTTCCGACACAAGAAGTTTCATGAACAATCCCTTGTTGACGGAAATAATCGCGCATACATGTAAATTTCAGTCCCATTGTCACTGCGAATAGTTTTAACCAACACACCAAATTGCCTTTTTACAAAGGAAAAAAATTGCAGCAGAGTAGAAGACACCGAAGATTTGTCATTCAATAAGAAAATCCAAGCACCTCGAGAATAGTCGTCAACAATAGTATAAAAAATTTCGAGCACCATTAAAGGCAGGAACTCTATAAGGTCCCCACAAATCACAATGACTCAGACTGAAAATGGAACTGCTAATGCTGCGACTAAGACGAAAGCTAGCACGAGATTGCTTCGCCCAACAGCAAACATCACAAGCTTTATTCGAGACCAATGAGGGATACTCAAAAAAAGGCAATTGACCAAGAACAGTAGAAGATGGATTACCCATCCGCTGGTGCCATAAGTGCGGCATAACTGAAGACACCCGAGAAGCATTGACAGTGATTGCCCCTCGGAAAATATAGAATCCCCCTAATTGTTCACATGCTCCAATTACTATCCTCGAAGTGAGGTCCTGAATAGCACAATGTTTACTAGTGAATGTAGCAACACAACCAGATTGTTCTAACAACCGAGATAAATATAACAAGTTGCACTGAAGACTGTCAACGAACAAAACATCATATAAAATAATATGAGAACTGTAATGCCCCGTTTGATTATGAAAAAATATGGGAATTATTTAAATTATTATTACTTTTATTATTATTATTAGTATTTTTATTTGCCTAAATGTCATTAAATGTCTAATTGCTTTTAAATATTGAAATGTTTATTATTATTACTAAATAAATGTTATTGTTATTTAAATTAAATGTCTAAATTGCCTATATATGATTATGTGATTAAATGTTTATTATTAATAAATATTATTTGTGTGTATTATATATATATATTTATATACTGTTTTTATTTTATTTATCGAATGTTCGTGTCGGGCCTCGATTATGTATTATTGTTGAACTGAGAAGTCGGCCCGTGAGCCTTGAACCCGCACTCGCGCACCCCGGGCCAAGGACCCGCGCCCTTAAAACCCGTACCCGGTCCGCCCCTACCCTTGTGCGTGTGTGTGAGTGTAACTTGGAAGAAAAGGAATCAAAAACCCTAAGCTAGCCTACATCTACATATATATATGAGATTTTTGTGCCCTGCTCGTAAAAAAACGAGAGATATCCCGCAACTGCTATCGTTTTCTCTCACCCCGCTCAAAGAGAAAGTCTCGCAACAAATCTACTCTCTCCCGATCAAATCCATGTAGAGATGAAGTTCTCCTTCGTTTTATTCCTGTCATCATATTATTCCCCAACACTTCATCTAACTCTCACCTCTCCCTCTCGGTTCTTTTAAAAAAAAAGGAGAATCGAAAAACAGAGCATAGAAAAAAAAGAGGAAAACCTGCTACCATCATCCTCCTTTAACCTCCATCACCAAGTGTCGTACTGCTGCCTCGGGTGAGTTCGACATCATCATCGTTCAAGCCATCACATAAATCCGCAGCACCACGTGAATACCGACGAACCGCCACCCTCCACTGCCGTCCCGTGCTGCTGACCAGTGGCGGCGTCTCATTCAATTTGTTTTGTCCAGACCCCGTGAGAAGCTTCTCCGACGTCCCGAGTGTAGTCCATGTGGTGTCGCTGTTCGAGCAACACATCTTCATCGCAAAGCAACTCCGCCGTCGTCGCCATCATCACCATCACGAGCCAAGCTTGTTGTTCATCATTGTCGGGACCCGTTCATCGCTTCCTGGCCCCCGCTGATCACACACAAAACTTTCCGGCAAGCCGAAGCTTAGCCGTCGAGCCCCGTAGGTGCATTTGTGAAGCCATTTCAGCCTCGTTTTGATTCTTTCGTTCGAACGTTTTCCCGAGAATGGTACCTAGGCTCGAACCTCATCTCGTTTGATTTTACGATTTGTGTTATTGGGTTATAATACTTGCAAAGTTGCTGAACGTGAGTAGTACGAGTTAATTACATCCCTTGGATGTTTTATTGAGCAATATATTGAGTTCCCATGCGAATTGGATATCAGAGTGGTTGCCGTCACTTTGGTTTATTGTTGAACTGAGTTTTATGTGGTATTTTTCGTGGAAATCCTTGTGTTATAGGTACTAGGAGTTGTCCTTGATTCATTCTTTTTTGTTTGAGGTCGTTTCGATGTTTATATCATGAGTTATGATTTTTACAAACCGAGCATGCTGCTGAATCATAATTAATTCATGATAAATCGTGTGACTGTCCGAATGCCGTGAAATTTTATATGTAAGTCGTGTATAATTTTTAAGTCAAAACTCCATGTATAGCTATTTTAATTAATTAAATCGGTTTTTGGTCGTAATCTTGTAAAATTCATTAAAAATCGTACACTTGGAGTTTTGAGCTGAAACTTTGAGGAGTATGTTATTTTGTGTTATTCTGTGTTGGGTCAAATTTTAGATTAAAATTTGAAGTGTAGCTATATGAACTATTAAAGTTGGATTTTTGCACTGTTTTTGCTTTAATTATTTAAAAATTCTCCCAGATGAATTTAGGGCTGAAACTTGGTGAGGTTATGTTCTTTTGTATGCCCTGTGATGTGGTAAAGTTTCATGTTGATTGGTTGAGTCTAACTCCAGATTCTGGATTTTGTTTATTTTGGAGTCTTAATGCTCGGTTATCCATCGTTTAGGTTCGGGTTGGATTTTATTGATGTTGGCACAATTTATGTCTATTACCTAAGGTTATATGAGTTGGGTTAAGGTCTAGTAGTCACTCCAAAGTACTTAACTCGGTCAAGGAATCCACGAGTCACTTAGTTGATGTGATTTCGGCTAAGTATATGTGCCTTGTGTGCTGTTTTGTATTGGATAGTCAGTTGATAGGCTATTATAATCGTTGTAGGTTCTTCGAGCTAAACTTTTTCCATAATTCCTTCAACCCTATGTTTGGTTATATCTCGGTATCCAAGTGGTTGCTATTCAAATTTGTCTATGCCTTGAATAAATGTTTTATTTATGTGGGTATGATCAATGTAAGCATGTGAACATGTAACCTTCGATGTGAGTATACCGGCCGTCGAACGGTTATCCCCGTAGCTATAGAACGTACCCCGTAAGGGTAATCTCTATGTTTGTCCTTTGCTAAGGACCACGTCATCTGTAAGACCTTGGCAATGTGCCGGGCCGGTGATGGATATCCTGTCCAAGCACTAGGTGTGTGCTGTGATGGTTAAGCCTCCTGCTGTTATAGCACCCCTTTATGTTCGCCGAAAGGCATACGAGCAGCAGTCTATTGTTATAGGTGTGCACATGAGAATTACTTTATTTAGAAGATGGGATGTTTATTGATTATGTTCATACTGCGACCATGCTATTTAATTTTACGTACTTTATTATTGTTCATGTGCATAGTAGTAAGCACTACAGTTCATCGTGCTCACTCCCACCTGCTCTTCATGGATGCAGGTTAAGCAGGTGTTGGCTGACGAGATAAAAGACGAGTGGTGTTGGTCTTTGACTGACTTCATTTAGTTTTATTTCGCATGCTAGTAGTCTGGGATTATTTATGAAATGAATTGTTTATTTAAATATGTGTTATATTTGGGGCTTAGGATCTATCCACCTATGATTTAAGCGAACTCTAGCGTTTTTTATGAACACTATATCTTCTTATACATGTGCTAAACGTTTTGGCCATTTTCAATGTAGAACAATGTCTCGCCAAACCCGCAATAGCAATCAGCAACAATCACCTCGCCCGCCTCCACCTCTCCCGCCTCTACCTCCTCCTCAGCAGCACGCTCGGGGTAGAGATCCCATTACCCAGTTCGTGCTCGATTTCCGTAACATACATCCTCCGACGTTCACCATGGTTGAGGGCCTCGAAGCTGTGGCCGAATGGCTTCAGCAGCTAGAGAGTATCTTTGATATGCTATTCACCACTGATGAGGTGAAGATTCGTTGTGCTTCGTTCCAGAAGACCGGAGATGCTAGAACTTGGTGGACCGACTACTGGAGGCTTCGTCCTCGTGCTGAGAAGGATGCTTTGACGTGGGACCAGATGGTTGCTATAGTCAAGGAAAGATACTTTCCGGAGGCTTAC